CCTGCTGAATGCAATGTATTTTTTCCTGCTATTTGTTTTAAAAAACAGCGGCAACAAAACCCCTTTAAAATGTTCCTTTTCCTGCAGAGAAATGTAACTAGCATAGGAATTCTCAAACGTTGGGAGATTTTTCAGTTTATAATTGGCTTAGGATACAAGATGATGAAATGGGTTTGGTTTTTAATATGTGCATTTGCATTGAATATCGTCTGTGGAAAAGTAAGCAATGAGGTAAAGTTTGAATGGATTGACTGTTTTCTAGGTGTGTGAGATATGTGAATGTTACCTTTGTTCCCATGCAGTGGTGGAGTATCATTTGTAAAAGACCTGGGACTGTTTTGGTCTTATTGTTGGTGCACAGGAAATTAAGCACCAGGCCAAAAGTAAATATTACAACGCTGTTTCATTCACAGCTTGCTTTTTCTCTTGGGCCGAGTCAGGTCTCCAGTAGCAGAAAAATTGAACTTGTAATTAAAGATTAAATTGTGGTGTGTATCTATGTACTTTAGCATCTTCTGAATATTAAATGTTCCCTTTTGTGATTTCAGGTATTATAGATTAAAACTATGTGGAATAAAAATCCACATTTTAAATTCCAGAATTACTGACCTAGTTTCTTTTTCTTTTGGGAATATTAATTTTTAATTTCTCACTATGTACAGATGGAGAATAGTTGAGTGCTGAAATTTAGTTAACAGTCATAGGGTATGTTTTTAATAGGGATGTGTCTTCATTCAGGTATAATTTTGTTTCTGTTTCTGAGTGTGCACATAGTTGAACCAATGTTGTTACAGTTTTGCAGGAGAAATTTGTCTTGAGACGCGGATTGAGAAATTGGATGCCAGAGATGTAGTTAATAACTGAAATTCTTTTTTTTTTTTTTTTTCCTATGGTTAGTTGGACTACTTAAAACAAAAAAGGAGTGAAGTTCCTTGAGTAGCTGGTGTAGCCTCTCTTCCATGTAGACCATCCTCTTTTTCTCTCCCTCATATACCAACAACCAAGAGGATGTGGTTGCTGCAGATAATAGCTCTTTATAACTTCTAGGGCTATGATATGATCTCTACAAATACGCATTTATTCTACGAAATGTTCCATGTAGCTTCCTCTCTAGCCAGAACTAGGTCATTCATTTCACTGATTCTGTATTTAAATAGATGTGAAGATTTATACCAAGCTTTTATAGTTTGGGGAAGTAAAAAGACCTTGGTTTTAATGTTTCTTTTAATTATAAATTTTAAGAATAGTATTTTACGTTTGCCATTTTCTGCTACTATCACTTCTAGTATATCACATCAAGTTAAATCAATCATTCACAGTTTTACAAGTTTAGACAAATGTCTAAATGGAATACATTTCAAATAAAATAATGCAGATTAAATATTGATTGATATTAATAACTTGACACAGACTATTTTGCAGAATGTAAAATAAAGTATTGCCTTACAATTATATTAACTCATATAAATAATAGAGCATACAGCGTGAAATGAAGTGTAGAGGAGAAACTATTACATTTAACAGTGTTAATAGGGTTTTTCCAGTCTAACAGATGAAAAGATGAACTGAATAATTCTTCTATAGATCCATTCATTTATTGAGCTTCAAAGTGGTTGGGAGCAAGTAACTACGTAGCAGGAAATTGTTCTCAGTAGTCCAGATGGTCATTTGATGTAATGCTCTGTTATGGGAGATCAGAGTGAAAACAAAAGTAGCTACAGATTATATGGAACATTCAGCTAGGGTACTGCAGAAGCAACATCAGAGTGTGTTTTCACAAATAAGTTTTTAAAAAGTAACAAATCTGTGTTTTTCTTACAAGTGTTAATGGTTACAAGCTGGCTAGTTACCTTAATTCCTGCTTCCGGAAAGTTTCCTACCTATGAAAAAGAATAGTAGCAGTAATGCGGAAATAAATCCAGAGGTCTGCATATATACTATCAAAGAATGTAAAAATGGAGTGAATCTGAGGATACTTTTAGTAGCTTTATTTCATTAAACCAGAGAATGGTGGACATTTTTGTGACTTTTGTCAATTTAGTGATAAATATTTGAATGTTTTCTCATCTTACGAAATACTAGTCTAAAATGAAATGACTCACAGAAGTGATAGCTTCTTTCCTCATGGAAATATTTCTCTTTTTTTCTTTACAAAATATATTGTTCACAGTTCGATGACATTATTTTTGTGAATCCTAAAAGTGTTCCATCTTTTTTTTTTTTTTTCCAGCAATGAGTAGTTTATTCTGCTCAGAGGAAAATGCTGTGTTTGCTGCTGTTTCCATCCCTGTGGCAGGATGCTTCTGCAGCAAACCACAGCACCTTGAAAGCAATGCACTTTCTAAGGAGAAAACACTTACCTGGATTAATTATCAACCTATTTAGCAGTCTTATGTTAAAACTACATTGAAAGTTTTCAGTACTCGAGATTGATACAAATTCCTGTAGAAAAAGGGCTTGAGTAACTGAAGCAGCAGTTTAACTGCTACTTGAACTAATGTTTATGGTTCGTGCATCTGAAGACAAGAATAGTTTGCCATATATTGTGTGTTTGGTGGAAAGGACATGCATCATCTTTCCGTTATTCTTGCTCATAAAAAAAAATACTTGTGAAAGTAGAACTGGTTTATGAAATGACTTTGATGTATTTATAAGCGTAATGTGTTTTTTTCATGTATACGCATAGACTATAATTACAATGCCAGTTAAATTAGCTGCATAATTGTGAATAACATGGGCCGTGTTTTCTATAAAACGTTAATTCCAGTTTCTTGTGTAAGTACAGTTTTTGTGCTACTCAACAAAACAGCAAAGGGAACACATGTGGAGCCTTAAATATTTTTTTACCTCAAGTCCTTTATAGATGAGATATAAAAGCACATTGTATAACATAAGAAATTTTATGGAAAGGAACCACATGTTTTCCAAGTAGAAAAAACGCGTTTTAGTGATCTGTGTAGTATGTTTATATCCATATGGCATACTTTTCTTAATCCTGGTTACTTACCTAACCATTCTTTTGATTCCTGCATCATTCATTAATTTTCATACTTCAGTGGGAGCTGTACCTAATCTAGGAAAATTTCTTGCTGTTTAGAGTAGATAGGCTTAAAAAAAAGCTGAAACTGTGAAGATGGCCCAGTTCCACATTTTACTCTGGGGACTTTTATTTAGAGGTGACGTAAAATAAAACGGTCCTTTCCCTTTGCTATAGTAGTTTCTAAAGCATAGAGCCATATTTGTTTTTTAAAGATCCTTTTCCCACCCAAAAGCTGTCTGTATGCAGAACATATGCAAATCACTGCTACAAAATGTGAGTCTCACAGTAAGATGCAGAGATCTGAAGAACTGGGGGGAAAAAACCAACCAACCTCCCCTCTCCTTCCATAAAAATAGTTTCTTTGTGGGGTTTGTCTCCCTGAGGAACTTCCTGATACTCGGATACTCTGTCACGTGTAATTGGATTGCAGCTCTTTCTGAATACTGTTTTCTCCTCTTGACAGCATGGGGTAACCTTGGAAATGTTCTCAAGAGCCAGAGCAAGATTTCTGAAGCTGAAAGCGCCTATAGAAATGCCTTGTACTACCGCAGCAACATGGCTGATATGCTTTATAATTTGTAAGTATGCGTGGCTTTCCCCGGGTTGGATTGTCTGTGAAACCTAATGTGAATGGAGCTATTGATTTCCTTGTTGGAAATGGAGATGATGTTAGCTGTTGCTTTGTAATAGTCATTTCATTAATTGTGCTGCTTAAACTATGGTGTGGACAAGACCTTCTCTTAGTCAACATTATCATGTATTCACGTTTTGGGTATGGAGAAGGTAAACTTAAAAATCTGTTTGCTTTAAAAGAAGGAAAGAAACCCACACTGAACAAAGTACAGATGATGAGCTGGCAACAGTAGCACTCCATCTGTTTCTGAGTCGGCTAAAATATAGAGGCGTTATTTAGACTTCTTTTTTAAGTCTGAATAACACTTAGTGGGGGGAGTGAATGTAAGCGCTTCTCAGCATAAGCCAATACACCTCAGCTAGCTCGAGAGGTCTGAAATGTTAAAATAGCAAATAACTTTTCTCCTGACTTGAGAGCAGCATAGGTTCAAGAAAGTTTAATTACTACAATCCTGTTGTAGGTGGGTAAGAGAATAAATACGATGAGCATCAAAATAATTACAGAGCGGGGAAGAAGATTTCCCAACTCATTAACGTACCAAATCATGAACGCAGAAGCTAGCGTCGTGCTTAGCTTCTCACTGCGGTGTGGTTGTGCCATGTGTCCCAGTGGGCAGGGGGGTGATTCTCTGGGTGTCCTGGCTGGGTGTTTCTCCTGCTCTATACTGAGCACTGCTTGTCGTGCCAGCACTTGCCCTTCCTTCGCCTCCTACCATCACCCACCCAGCCCGAGCCCTCAGAGCGGGGCTGTGCTGCGGGACAGGCTCCTCACCTTCAATAGCCATATGCCACTGGTTCATGGTGCGTGAAGAGAACAAAATCCATGTGACTGCCGTTTATTAGGTAGTAGTCTGAAAATAATGTCCTGTGTGCGTTAGAAAATTATGTACGTGAGAGAAACAACATGTGCAAAAAATTAAATGCAAGCAGTAAGCCTCTTTAAGTAATTAAATAAACAAATAATGTTCTGTCTGTAAGTCCTGTTTAAAATGGTCGTCTGTAATATCTGAAAATGAAGTTTACCATAATAGACTTTTTCTTCCTTTTTCCTTGTTTAATCAGGAGTAAGTTGTCCATTTCATTAATTTACCTTACAATTAAACATACTGGAATCCCAAAACAATGTAATGGTAGAATTTCTATTCCAAATTCAAATTCATATCTCAAAATATGTTTATTTTTAATAATCATACAATTACACATATACACATATGCACATAATTTTTTTTGTCTCTGTTAGGCAGTGGAGAGTGTGAAAAGGATATTTTAAAGAAGAAACTTCTTCTGCTGGCATTTAAAAAAATAACTTCCCACCCAGCAGAAGATTGTAGGAAAAAAATGACAAGATTGATGCTCCTAAATTGCTCATATGCCATTCATTTTAGGGATGAAAATTATAAGTATTAAAATTTTTTGTATGCCTATACAGTACTTTTATCTCCTAATCACTCACTGCAAAACTGAAGTTAATACCAGAATAAGAAGAGGGAAAGGGGTTGGGCAATAAAGACACGTACATAAAAGAAATCAGATTTCAGTAGTTTTGCTGTTCTCAAAACAAGCTGATAATCTTCCAGCTTTCCATTGATATACAAAATATATGCCTACAAACCTTTATTTCCGCTGAATAGAAAATTTCTTGGAATTTCTCTGAATTTGTGTAACAGGAGTTTAGCTGAAATACGGGTTGGAATATATAGAACACAAAGTTATGTCACATATACCTGTGAAAGTAAAGGAAGATTATTCAGAGGGAAGTCTCTTCCCTGTAGTATGTGTATATGTATGCATATACAAAAAAGGATCTCTAATTCTTAACCTTTCTACTACTGTCTTGAACGCAATAGAATCTGCTTCCTTTTTTTGTCCCTTCTCCCTTTTTTGTCCCTTCTCCCTTTTTTGTCCCTTCTCCCTTTTTTGTCCCTTCTCCCCTTTTCCTTTCTTTTCTATGCCTCAAAAAAAATTAGTTACTCAATAAAAATTGAAAAATCTTACATAATTTTGGGGGGTTTTTGTAGTCTGTGTTAGGTACTTCCATATCTATCATGAAAACTGGGTGGTGAGTGGAGTGGGCTTTGATATTACGAGACCATAAACAAATCGATTATTTTAGTCATAAACTCTGAAGAACTCCTTTGAAAGTTCAGCCCATCCTTGGCATGTGGTTCTGTGGGGGCCTTTTACAGAAAACACTGTAATGGAAAAATGCACCTTATATGTGCTTACAAGAGGCCAGTTAGATTTGCTGCTTCTGCTTCTTAGTGTGTACTTTTGAAACTGAAACAGTCACTTAGTAGAATTTTAATAAAAAAAAACATCCTCACAGTAATTTCTAATTGCTGTCTTTTGGGCATAATATATACAAAGTATATTGTAGTCTCACATGCTCTTTATTGTTCCTTAGCACTTATGCCTCAGTATTTGATACAAATTAATTGGAACATGCAGCCCAGTGTTCACAGACAGCAATAACGAATCTAAGTGCTATCTGATTGAGGAAAAAATTATTAAGGATTAACTCACAATTTTTAATGGGCAACTATCAAAGAGAGAAATTACATAAACAGAAGCGTTTGATGATCTCTTTTTCCTTTTTCAAGAAACTAAAGTGTGCGATTGGCTTAGCAGTTGGCTATTAATGCATTAAAATATACAGAATTCAACAGATAGATGAATGATTTCAGTGATATATTTTTATTTTCTGACTGTTATACCTCATGGCTCTGAGTTGCAGCTGCTTTTGCCGTTTCGGACAATTTAAACTGCATTAATTTAGATTATATAATTACATCCTCTCCATTTGCAGGTTTGTCTGATTCTGGACATGTCATTTCCCATACTGTTCAAGTGTGTCAATTCTGTAACTTTCAATAAATTCCTAAACTTTCAGAGACCAGCAAAACTTTTATTATTATTTTTATTTACAAAAAAACAAAAGAGGGGAAAAAAAAGAAAAAAAAAGTTCTTGCTAACATTAATATTGGGTTGGTGGTTCATCACTACTTTAGATATGTGTTTAAGTGGATTGCTTTTGTTGACATTTTCTCAGGTCCAAATAAGTGTAAGTGAAACTCATGCATACCTTATATCTCAGCTTATATCTATCCTTTCTTGGAGATAGAATCTGTGGCCTGGAATTTATAAAACCTGAGCTCAGGCTAAGGGCTTGAATTCTTGTTTGGAAGCTTGTTTTCTGAAACTCTCAAGAAAAACTCAGAGGGTAAATTCCTGGCAACTCTGAAAGCATTTGACATTTTCATAGCAATTTAAGTGTAGAAAGGATTTCAGTTGTTTTATACTGTAAATGGAGAGTGTATTACAATATGACTTCAATGAAGTAGTTTGTACTTCAAAAATACATATGAAGTGGCCTCCTATAAACAGCTTCTCTGACATCTTGGGACTGCACTGCAGGTAATTTTTATAAATAAATCTCAAAGCCAACTTCTGAAAGCTATGTAGCGCTGCTGATTTCAGCTAGATTTCATAGGGTAGTAAATCAGCATAAACTGAGATTTTTCTATGTTTTTTTTTTTTTTTTTTTTTTGAAACTGAGAAGTCCATGTGTTTTGATACTGTGAAGTACCAAGGACAGAGCTGTAGTAAACCAATTTTTTGTTATTCCAAACTAGGCAATGTTCAGCAGATTAAAAACAAACTATTTTTAGTTTGTTTTGACATGTCGGTATTTGTTGCCTTATGGTTGTTACCTAAAGCTCATGAGGTTTTTTGTATTGCTTCAAATTGCTTCTAATTAATGCCCGAAGTAAAATTACGTATCAGTCAAAAGCCAGTTTTGCGTACGTTATTTCACTTGTATTTAGGTCTAGCTGTGCTTAGAGTATTCTTTTGTTATCTGTACTAGTAATCTCATTTCCTTGAGTTTCTCGGCAAATTTTAAGGATGTTTGCAATCTTACATATTGAATCTTCCTTTAAAATTAGGCTAATTTCTTTAAATGTTTTATTTTTGGGGTATACAATGCCTTTTAAAGGATAAATTTCTACCAAACAGCCATCCCCTTGCTTGTCTTCTGAAATACCTCATTTTGCCTTTAGTGATACAGGGCTGTGTGTACAAGTTTATTATTCAAATAATTTGATTTCTTTTGATATTTCAAAGTATGAATTTCCATAAACTTTAATTTGGCAAACTTAGAGTATTATATTAATAAAAGTGGACTTTTTTTAGATTTCTGTTAGGTAAAGTCTTTAACAGTAGCTGAAATTTTAATTCTGTAAAGTCTGGATTTGCAGAAGTGTTTTATATGCAAAGTTTAACTCCACATCATTGGGTAAAAATCAGTACAAGCAAAGGTGTTCCTTGTCTGTTGTTGTTAGCTTATATAGCATCTGAAACTGTGTTCCCTCTGCATCTGCCTTTTAAGGATGCTGCCATAAAAATCTCCTTTGCTGAGCTATCAGAGACGAAAAGCATTAAAAGCAGGCTAACCTACAAATGTTATGTTGAACTGTGTTTGAACCTGCCCCAGACAAAGTTGCTGCAGCACTTCACGTAGTAGGAAATGAGTCAAGGTTATGATTCCTCTTCCTTGATAGCCCAGAAGTTTTTATAATGCAGGATGTTGAGTTAAAAAGCAAAGAGGATGTGTCGTCTCTGTCTAAGTACTTGATTATTTTTTTCTCAGCTGTGAATGCAAACTTGTTAGAAACCTGTTTGGAATTAATCTCTGCTTTGCCAGCTAGTTCTTCCTCTGTCAAAGGGAGCAGCTGAAATTTGTTTCTTACTGTAACCAAAGCTGTCTTGATGAAATCTTGCTGTATTGTGAGACCGGCTCTTGAGGTAGCACCCAAAGGTCACTTAGCTGACAGTGTGTCAGTGTGTCCTGCAGTGCAGAACTCTGCTTGGGGACTCTTTGTAGGGCCAGATATTTTTGTAAGTAAGATATTTTTGTAAGACTGAGCTGAAATGCATTCAGTGACCT